AAAAAAAAAAACCCTTAATCGTCTTTATACCTGCTACTTGATCTGCTCTCCCTGTCCAGATCTCATGCATTCTGTGATAAATATTAAGGTCTATCGACTCAATTTTTTAACATATCATGAAATTAGTAAATTTTTTGTCTTTTGGTCCTCATTTGACCAGTTCCAGGGGAATCCAAAGCCCTCTTCTGACCTCCGTGGCATTGCCAAGTGCTGGGATTAAAAACGTGTGCCACCACACCTGTGTTTCTTGAGATTTTTCATTGTTTTCTTCCTGAAAATGATCATAGGACTTTGATGAGATTCATGTAGAATATTTACATAGCATGATATTCTATATTCTCTTCCCATTTTAAATAAGAATGTGTTAAATATTTGTGACTGTCTACATCTCATTTGGGGATTCCTCTGTTTGCTACCTACTGTTGATGTCTATATTTCAGTTTGGTCAGAAAAGAGATTGCAAAACATTGACCGGGTATAATATTTAAGACATAATATATTGTCCAGTGCAGTTCTTCATTTGGTCTTTGATTTTGGAAGTTTGCACATCCTCCTGTGTGTGCGTGCACATCAACCCTGGCTTCTTTGGAATGCATACTTTCTCATGCTTCTCATATGCTTGTTCATTCATAGTCTTTCTGACTTCTGAATTCTTCACAGACAGGATACAGTTCCCAGAGCTGTGGTTTGGAGGATGTGTCTTGTTCAGGCACCTTCCTTCTCTCTATAATTCTCCTCAGTCATGAGATGAGATTTCGGATGTCATGACCTTCCCTCTCATGGCTCAGTCTTGCCATTGTCTGTTAGTCTCTGAGCCCATGGATACTGGACTGAAAGCTCTAAAGATGGAGCCAAAGTTTAATGTTTTATTTCCTAAATAATTTTTCGCAGTTTTAGATCAGATGAAAAAGATCCACAATGGACTCTCTGGTAATATAAGAGAAGAAAGATAAAATTCAGTTTCAAATTTGAAATAAGGTAAAAAGATAGAGATTACCTTAGTTTCTGGGTGTGGTGTCACAAGCCTTTAATCTCAGCACTTCGGAGGCAGAGGCAGGTGGATCTTTGTGAGTTAGAGGCCTGCCTGGACTACATAGTGAGTTCCAGGACAGCTGGAGCTAAAGAGAAACCCCATCTTAAAAAAACAGGAAAAAAAAAAAAGACTGGGAACACAAAGAGCACTGTGAATGCCCCTATTCAATACTTGATTTGTGTCTCAGTTTTCAGGCATTCAGCATACATTGGGAAAGTCCTTGACTCCATGTTGGATTTCAGGATGATTATAGGGCTTTTTGTTTGTTTTTGTTTTTATTTTCTGTCTTTTTGAATTGCATCTTTTTGTAGCCCAAGTAGGCCTTGAACTCACTAGGTAGACTAAGCTGGCCTTGTACTCACAGAGATCTGCCTGCCTCTGCTGGGATTAAAGGCACACACCACTACACCTGACTTATTATAGATTTAATTTTGAAGTTTACCTCTAAAATATTTAAACCCACTGTATTTCATTGCTCTGCCACTTCTGAGTGCCTAAAGTTCATGATTCAATATATTCTCCGTTCTTCTTTAAAATATAACCATGAATTCTGAAGTGATGGCTGGCTGCCATGAATTAATACATTTTTTCAAATGACCTTCTCCCTCCATCAATTTTAAAGGATACCTTTTTTGCCAGTCAATTTTAGTTAATAAGTTCACTTTTAGTACGATATATGTATTTTTATATTATTTCATGCTGTTTTCCCTCTGGTCTTTCTTGAGAAGAGACCAGATATTACTACAGATTTCCTGCCTTTGTAATAAGTTGGTAATTTTCCCTAACACAATTAACTACAGATTTTCTTTTTTTCTTAGTATTTTTCTCATGTGCCTTTGGTGTATACATAGAGTTCTGTTTGTACTTATTTCAACTTCCTAAATGACTCTCTTATAACTGTACATTCGTTTATTTTTCATATATTTTCTAATTTATTTTTATTGAAGAAATTTTCTCACTTGAGTTTTAATTTCATGTCCTTCTTTTACCCCATAGATTTTTATTTTTATTTATTTGAATGTTTCACAATGTTGAAAATTGTATTCATGCATATTACATGTTTCTAATGTGTGTGTGATTGGCTCATCCTTATTTTACATATTGAAATGTTGTCTTCTATTTTCCTTTGCCTGGAGAGCTCAACTCTTACAAGACATCAGAGTATACACAATGTAGAGGAATCCTATAGATGTGAAGAATGTGACAGGTCCTTTACTTCAATGTCAAGTTTCAAATTACAGCAGGGAAGTCATACGGGAGAGAAACTCCAGAAATATGAAGAATGTGGCAAGTCCTTTCATCATGTGTCATGTCTTACAGTACATCAG